CCCCAGGATGGTGGGGGCATTTTTTGGGGTGGGGGGTGTGTGTGTATCCCACAGCCCTGGTGGCAAAGCCAGAGGGGAACTGGTACTCGATGCACCGTGTCCTGTCCCCGGGGAGGGTACCCGGTACCCTACAACCCCCCCAGTCCCTGGTGGGGGTACCTACCCCCCCCCGACATGGTGCCTTGTCCCCAAGGAAGGTCCTTTCACCTCTACACCCCGGGAATGGTCCCCAGGGCACCCTGGGGAAGGTCCCTGCTGTCCTACACCCCGACAAAGTCCTCAGGGCACAGTGACCTGTCCCCAAGGAAGGTCCCCACCACCCAAGTCCCCGGGACACGATGCCCGTGACATCCCGTGGGGAGCCCAGAGCTCTGTGTCCTGTCCCTGGGGACAATCCTTGGGACATGATGCCCGTGACATCCCACAGGGAGCCCAGCGCCCCATATCCTGTCCCTGGGGACAGTCCCCGGTGTCCTGCATCCCGCTCCGGCGGCGGCGGCGATAGAGGAGCGGGAGGCGGGACCGGGAGGGACGGGGCGGGAGCGGGACGGCCCCCCGCCACCGGCAGCGGCACCGCCCCCGCCGGGCTGCCCCACGCACCCCGGGGATCCCCGGGGCTGCCCCACCGGCCTGACCCGCAGCATCCCCGGGGGGCCCCACAGCATCTCCGGTGAGCCCCACAGCCCTGGGGAGCCCGGAGCTGCCCCACAGCATCCCCGAAGTGGCCCCACAATATCCCTGTAGAGCCCAGGTCTGCCCCACGGCCACTCCTGAGGAGCCTGGAGCTACCCCACAGCATCCCTGGGGAGCCTGAAACTACCCCACAGCATCCTCGGGGGGCCCCGAGCTGCCCCACAGCATCCCTGTAGAGCCCGGAGCTGCCCCACAGCCACTCCTGGGGACCCTGGAGCTGCCCCACAGCATCCCTGGGGAGCTTGAAGCTGCCCCACAGCATCCCTGGGGTGCCCGAGCTGCCCCACAACATCTCTGGTGAGCCCCACATTCTGCCTTGTCCCCAAGGAAGGTCCTTTCACCTCTACACCCCGGGAATGGTCCCCAGGGCACCCTGGGGAAGGTCCCTGCTGTCCTACACCCCGACAAAGTCCTCAGGGCACAGTGACCTGTCCCCAAGGAAGGTCCCCACCACCCAAGTCCCCGGGACACGATGCCCGTGACATCCCGTGGGGAGCCCAGAGCTCTGTGTCCTGTCCCTGGGGACAATCCTTGGGACATGATGCCCGTGACATCCCACAGGGAGCCCAGCGCCCCATATCCTGTCCCTGGGGACAGTCCCCGGTGTCCTGCATCCCAGGGATGGTACCCAGGACATGATGCCCGTGGCATCCCATATGGTTCCCCGTTGTGCCCTGCCCTGTCCCTGGGGACAATCCCCGGGAAAGGTCCCCTACCCCACAGCATCCTCGGGGGGCCCCGAGCTGCCCCACAGCATCCCTGTAGAGCCCGGAGCTGCCCCACAGCCACTCCTGGGGACCCTGGAGCTGCCCCACAGCATCCCTGGGGAGCTTGAAGCTGCCCCACAGCATCCCTGGGGTGCCCGAGCTGCCCCACAACATCTCTGGTGAGCCCCACATTCCTGGGGAGCCCGGAGCTGCCCCACAGCATCCCCGAAGTGGCCCCACAATATCCCTGTAGAGCCCAGGTCTGCCCCACGGCCACTCCTGGGGAGCCTGGAGCTGCCCCACAGCATCCTCGGGGGGCCCTGAGCTGCCCCACAGCATCCCTGGGGAGCTTGAAGCTGCCCCACAGCATCCTGGGGTGCCCAAGCTGCCCCACAGCATCTCCGGTGAGCCCCACATCCCTGGGGAGCCCATGTCTGCCCCACAGCCACTCCTGGGGAGCCCCAAGCTGCCTCTCAGCATCCCTGGGGAGCTTGAAACTACCCCACAGCATCCCCATGGGGGGCTGAGCTGCCCCACAGCATCTCCAGTGGGCCCCACATCCCTGGGGAGCCCGGAGCTGCCCCACAGCCACTCCTGGGGAGCCCCAAGCTGCCCCACAGCATCCCTGGGGGACTCTGGAGCTGCTGAACAGGCAGCCCTGGAGATCCCAGAGCTGTCCCACGTTATCCCTTTGGAGCCTGGAGCTGCTCGACAGCAGCCCACAGCGAGCTCAGGCTGCCCCACAGCCACTTCTGGGGAGCCTAGGCTGCCCCACAACCACATCTAGGGAGCTCAGAGCTGCTCCACAGGGTCCCTGACGAGTGTGGAACTGCCCCACAGCATCCCTTGGGAGCCTGGAGCTGCCCCATGTTATCCCTTTAGAGCTTGGAGCTGTTCTACAGCAACCCCCAGCGAGCCCAGAGCTGCCCCACAACCACTCCTGGGGAGCCCAGAGCTGCCCCACAGCCAAGCTAGGGAGCCCAGAGCTGCCCCACAGCATGTCTGGGGGGCCTAGGTTGCTCCAGAACCACATCTAGGATGCTCAGAGCTGCCCCACAGCATCCCTGGGGAGCCCAGCATGGGCTCAGCCCCACATCTCTCCCACAGACCCCAGCAGAAATTAACCCTCTCAGGGACCTCTCCATGGGGGGCTGTGATGTGGGGAGTCACTCTGGCTGTCGGTCCCCAAGACGTGTCCCTGCACAAGCCTTTCCAGGGGGGACTGCGACGAAACTTGTGGGTCACTGTGAGCTTTCCATGGGGTTTTTCCCCACACCAAAAGGGGTTATTGCCCCAGCCAAGTGAGCCAGCCCAGCCTAGGGGCAATGAGGAGGCTGGGGCTATCGTTTTGGGACATACTGCAGCTATTTTGGGGTGGGGGGTGTTCAGGCATCCCTGGTGCATCCCCTGCAAAGCGGAGTGGGGACAAGAGGAAAAAAAACCCCATTTGTGTGGGGTTACAACATCTCTGCCAGCGGATCCCTCTGGAAGTGGGAGCCCGGCTCATTTGGAGGGCGGCAGGGGAAGGAGAGGGGCTGGGGATGCACTGTCCTGGGGCTGCTCCTGGGAGTGGGGACAAGAGGAAAAAAAACCCCATTTGTGTGGGGTTACAACATCTCTGCCAGCGGATCCCTCTGGAAGTGGGAGCCCGGCTCATTTGGAGGGCGGCAGGGGAAGGAGAGGGGCTGGGGACACACTGCCCCAGGGCTGCTCCCATCTCCAAAACCCCTCATTTGCCCAAAATCCTCAGCTCCGGGAGCCCAGCTTGTTTGGGGCTGAACGGGAGGGCGGCAGGGGAAGGAGAGGGGCTGGGGACACACTGCCCCAGGGCTGCTCCCATCTCCAAAACCCCTCATTTGCCCAAAATCCTCAGCTCCGGGAGCCCAGCTTGTTTGGGGCTGAACGGGAGGGCGGCAGGGGAAGGAGAGGGGCTGGGGACGCGCTGCCCCGGGGCTGCTCCCATCTCCAAAACCCCTCGTTTGCCCAAAATCCCCTCGTTTGCCCAAAATCCTCAGCTCCGGGAGCCGCAGCAGCCCCTCTCCCCCGCACACCCCCGAGCTGTCAGCTCCTTACATAAGGTTGCGTCTCCGCCCGAGATATCACGGGGGAAAAGCTGGAAAACAGGAGGCGAAAGGTAACGGGGAAAGCACAGCCCCCCCAAAAGTGTATTTTTAGGCTCCGCGTGACGGCTCCGTTCCCCGGGGGAAAACGCCGAGGCTGGGGGGCTCAATCTGCCTGAGGGATGGGGGGGGTGACCTCCCTGCTGCCCCCCATCCAGGGAACGAGGCTTTTTTGGGGTGGCTGGTCCCCAGGAAACCGCAGCTGCGGGGGGAAAGGCAAAGCTGTGACAGGGCACGGGGAGCAAAAAACCAGCCTCTAAATATGATTATTTTTTTACAGCAGAAAGCGCCTTCTAAGAAAAGGAGTCGGGGGTCTCGGGTGGTCCGGGGTCTTAAATCCATGATCTGGGGAAGACGGCAGCGTGATCCATAGGGAAAAGTCGTGGGGCTTTTTTATTGTTTTGTGGGTTTTTTTTATTTCCAGGATGCACTTTGAGCCGCTGATAAAAGGAGATTTTATTTTCCAGCAGCAGCAGGAGGGCAGGGCAGGGCCATAACCACGGGGAGGGATATCTCTCTCTCCGCCGCTGAGATGGATCCTGGTTTTTCCTGTTGAGATTCTGGCTTTTCCTGCTGGGATTTTGGGCTTTTTCCGGCTTGGATCGTGTCTTTCCCCGCCGGCGTCGCTGCGGCAGGCAGCCACCGCCATCTACAGCCGGCTGCAGGTGGCCCTTCTCAGAGCTTGGGGTGGCCCAAGGTCCCGTTCCTCGGGCTGGTGGCTTCGTGCCACACAACCACGGTGGCCTTCGGACACCCCCCCGGCCGGGCTGGTTAATGGTTAACGAGGAAACAACCCATTTCCTCCTTAAATTCGGCATTTTCCTGGCAGTCCTCGGAAAAGCAGAGCCCTCAGGGGGACACAAGCGGCTCTGCCTGTCAGCAGGGCGCAGGTTTTCCTCCAAATCCCAGGAATTTCAACTGTTCTGACCCCAGGCTCCCAAATCAGGGGCTCCCCCACCTCCTCCTTGTGTTCTTCTAATTAAAAACTAGTGCCCTTCACAGCAAAGGTTAATTGAAGCCTCACTTTGGGTGAGGGTGCGGCTACCAGCCATGATTTGCACCAAAACAGGGCAGAGGGAGTCAGGAAACAGGAATTTTCCTTTTCCATGTGAAACTGTGGGGTTTTGGTGCCACCTGCGTTACAGCCAAGGGGACAGCAGTGTCTGTCGTGACAGTGCTGTCGTGACACCACAGAGGGACATGATCCCACCCCCCTTTTCCCACCTCCATCACCCCCCAACAAAGATTTACGTCCCCCCTGCGATCAGCACAGCGCGTACGGTCCCCACAGCGCAGAGGGGCAGCAGATCCTGTGTCCCCCCCCTCAGGGTCACGCAATGATCCGAGACAAACACACTCTCCATCCTATTTTATTACTTTACATCCCTTTTTTTCTATTCCCAGCCCAAGCCAAGTGCAGAAAATCAGCCCACAGCGTTTTCACCTCCCCGTTCCGGCGCGATAGGGTCACAAACCCATTTTGGGGACGATGACAGAACCACTCACGTTCACACAAAAGCCCCCCCCTGAAAGCCCACCCCGCTCCGTCGGTCCCCGGAGCCAGGCGGCAGCGTTGCTCGAATCCTGCAGCCTCAGAGAAGCCGTAACACATCTCTTTCTCCACACACACACACACCCCACACCAACGTTTTTATAAGCTGGTTATTTCATGACGCAAACCCTGAGTCTGACTCTTTAACAGAAGAGCTTGAAACTGCATCTCCTCGCCCAGCTGAGCGCCCTCTGCGAGGAATCCTCATCATCCTTTGCGAGGAATCCTTGTCCCTCTTTGGGAGGAATCCTCATTTCCCACCCCAAAAACCTCCAGAGCACGATACGAGCCCTGCTCAGCTGGACTATCACCTTTGAAGACCCAGCTCTGCACCCCCTACTCGCTCCAGCTCCTTTCCCCTTCCCTCAAAAAAACTCAACCAGCCAAGCAGCCAGGTGAGAAAACCCCTCGGCGAGAGACAGCTTTAATGCCAAAAGCTTCCCCTCCCACCCCCCGACACCCATAAAAATTTAACTGTTGTATAAGGGCACCACCCTGGAGATGGGCTGGCGGCAGATGGGGCACTTTTTGGGCTCGGGGAGAGCCCGGTAACACTCTTTGCAAGAGCAAACGTGCCCACACTCTAGGAAAACGCAGGATTTGACGTTGCTTAAACAGATGACGCAGGCGTTTTTGAGGGTCTCTCCCCCTTCCGCGTTCATTTCGCGCATCAGGCGCTCCTGGGCCTGTCGAAATTCATCCTGCATCTGCCTGAGGTGCCTCCGCTGGCGATGATGCCGGTACTGCTTGCGGAGGATGAAGAAGAGGACGGCGCAGGTGGCAAAACCGAAAAGGACGGTGAGGATTTTCCAGAAGCGGGCGTTGGATTCTTGCTTCTGCAGCAAGGAGTCGAAATCCAGGGCGCTCAGGTAGTAAGGCATCCCCTGCTTGGGGGGTTGCAGCTTGATGGTGGCGTTGTCCAGGACCAGCTCTCCCACCCCTGTCAGGGCCGTGCCCACCTTCAGCATCTGCTCCGTCTCCTGAATGCCCTTGGGGCGCTCGCCGCTGATGTAGTGGCCGATGACGTCGGTGAAGGACTGGACAGAGGGGTGAAATTTTTCATACACCGTCTCCAGGCTGAGCTCAGCCGCGTCCAGAGGCTTCATCACCCTGACGGTGACGCCGGCGCCGTCCTCCGGAGGGACCAGGTCGAAGGGGGTGGTGTTGGTTCTCTGGTGGATGATCTTCTCGTAGTCGTTCCTGGGGAAGGAGAAAGGGGATCAAGCTGAGCATTGGGCACTTCCCCCGAGGGAAAGGCCACCTGGGATGGACTGTGAATTTTTTGGGGGCTGCCAAGCCATCACCCGCCCTGAGGGGAGTTTATTTGGATGGGATTCGCTGGAGAATGGCATTTCCCCCTCGTGGGACCACTTGGATGGGCATGAGGTCCCTCCACCCTCACCTCAGCGCTTCCACAGTCCCTGCAGAAGCAGCGTGGGCTTCCACTGTCACCAGGAGAGAGCTTCAGCCCACCCAATTCCCCCTCATCTCCCCGTGGTGTTCCTGGCTGCCAGAAACCACCCTGCGAGGAGAAGCGCTGCCCATCACACACACAGATTCAGTAAGTGTCATCCAATTAGCTGAGGCTCAAAAACTGTCACTGTGCCCTCATTCCAGCAGCTCTCAGGACCATCCTCTGGTCCCAAGAACCCCAATCCAACTGGATTTCTGTTTCAGAAGGTGTTGTTTTGCTCAGGAAATACCACCCATAACAATGTGGGGCTGCTGATAGATGTTCTGCCCACGTTGGGTTACTCTACGTGCTTGTCTGCAGCCCCTATGTGAACTCTGAAAGGATACAGCCCCGAAAACAGCCAAAGGCACCCCATTTTTGCAGCTGTAACTGGGCCACAGCCACTGTGGAGTCCAGTTCTGGGGAACCTTGGTCACTCTGGCCACGTCTGAAGCCACCTCAGGGTGTCAGGCCCTTACGAGGGCACCTCAGCTGGTCTGAAAACCAGATGTTTGCAGGTGTCGGGCACGTACCAGAGGTGGGTTGTTCGGTTCCACACCATCTTGTGCTCCTGCAGCGTCAGGCGCTGGATGACGCCCTTGCAGTTCTCCACAAACTGGCTGCTCAGGGTCTCCTTAACAGACCGCACCACACCTGGAAGAACAAACCCGCAGCACCTGTGAGGTGCTCGTGAATCATCTGCTTCACTTCTGACTGTGTACAGCAAGTATGGGCAGTATCTGTATGAGATCTGTTGGAGCATGTCCGGAGGAGGCCACGGAGATGCTGGGAGGGGGGGCTGAGAGAGTTGGGGGGGTTCAGCCTGGAGAAGAGAAGGCTCCAGGGAGACCTTAGAGCCCCTTCCAGTCCCTCAAGGGGCTCCAGGAGAGATGGGGAGGGACTCTTGGTCAGGGAGGGGAGCCATAGGAGGAGAGGGAAGGGTTTGACACTGAAAGAGGGGAGATGGAGCTGAGATGTGGGGAAGGACTTGTTTGGTGTGAGGGTGGTGAGAGCCTGGCCCAGGTTGCCCAGAGAAGCTGTGGCTGCCCCATCCCTGGAGGGGTTCAAGGCCAGGTTGGAGGGGGCTTGGAGGGACCTGGTGTGGTGGGAGGTGTCCCTGCCCAGGGCAGGGGGTGGCACTGGGGGGGCTTGAAGGTCCCTTCCAACCCAAACCACTCTATGATTCTGAGACGGGGGAGGCTGAAGAGCCGACAGCCCGTGCTTTGAGCCGCCGGGATGGCCAGTGGCCGCCTGATGGGGGGGAGACGAGCCGCCGGGCACAGACCCGGGGGGGCTGGGGCTGACACCCCTTGCCCTGCCCCTACCTTCGATGACCGCGTAGGGGACGCAGCGCCCCGGCGCCTCCAGCAGCACGGCCCGCAGCTCTCCGTCCAGCCGGACCTTCTTGGCGCCCTGCGGGGAGGAAACGGGAGGCCGCGGCTCAGCCGAGGGGACCAGGCCGCGGTCGGAGCCCCGGGACCAGGCCGCGGTCGGAGCCCCGGGCCCCGGTGACCCCTCGCACCCACCTGGAGGCCTCGGGCGACTCGGGCCTTCTGCCGGTAAACGGAGTAGAGCAGGGCGGTGAGAGCGGTGCTGGCGGCCAGCAGCGCGGCCTGCGCGGCCGAGGGCCGCCCGCTGCCCTCCATCGCCGCCGTTACCGCGGCAACAGCCCGACGGCGGCGCCGGGTGATGACGTCAGAGCGCGGCGCTCTGGCCGCGACGCTACCATAGAGACGCGGTCCTCCAGGGGGCTCAATCCGGTATGAAGGGCC